ATTTAAGCAGAGAATATCTGATGATAACATTGGCACTACACTAAATTACTTAAATGTGGTGTCAACAGATCAGATGTCAAACAGTTCAAATACTTAAAGGTTCCTGTGATCAGGGGTGTACTTTCCTAATAAAGTATCTTTATGATCTCATCTCCTTGTTCCCATCATGAAGCTGCTGCTTAGAGTGAAGGATTTTAGATGTAATGTATCTCAAGACATCCCTAAGCCCTATGGATGAAAACTATGCTGTTTATACCCAAGTATCACTAAAATGTCCTGTATTTTCTTTGATTCTGGGGCAAGCTGTCAATCTTAGTTAGTCCTTATAACTCTAAACTACTCAGATGGTAAACCAGAGGATAACTTACACTGACTTTTATTTATTGAAAAGAAAAAATGGCAAGATCTGGGATTATCTAAAGACCAAGTTTTGTGGTAAGAGCTTAACTACCAGAGGGCTTTCATAGTAAAAAGAGGACATCTGTGTGACCAGGGTTTGAGGTGAGGGGATGAAACACTGTTTCTAAGGAATGTGTAGGTTTTCTAAGGGTGCTGAAAAGTTAAGTTAAAAAGTTAAGTGGCAACTGTATATCCTAGGTCTTCACAAAAGGCAGGCCTACCTTAACAATAGGTGGTTCTCAAAGATGGAAACTGGCAAAGTCAAACTGGGACAGTCTTTAAGAGCCACCTGGTGAAATGCCATCACTTATAGAAGGGAAGAGAAAAGCCCAAATAGACTAAGATATTTGTCTAAACAATTTGTGTATAGAATTAAAAGCAGAATCAAAACTAAAATCTACAACTATTACTAAAATAATAAAGAGCAAAAACAATAACATCACCAGCACCACTTTAGAAGCTTACCATATGCTTTGAAATGTCATATAATCCTGTGAGGCAGGGAAAATAGAATCCCAAAGGAAAGAAATTGAGGGCCAGGGAGGGTAAGTGAATTATCCAAGGTCAAACTGATTATCAAGGGGATGCATGTGTTCTAAAGTACTTTCCACTGTTGCTCAATTTCATTTTAACAGATTACAAGGAAGAAAAGTGGCTGCTTGAGTTTTTTTGTGAATTCCAGTGAGAACCAGCCCTGCACTGTGCTCGTTGTGATTCCGGAGGCCTTAGGAGCAAGTTGTTTAAAAAAATAGTTGCAACTCTTCCCCTTCCACCTTCTTTGCAACACGATTTACATTGTTGTTCTAATTACCTTTGAGTAGAGCAAGACTCACAGCGATCCTACGAACAAACTTTACAACTACTGACATTTATCAAAATGCTTCCTATGGATACTCTTCTTAGGAGGCAAAAACATCCCAGAGGCATGTTGTTTAGGGAGTGTCCCCGTCACCTTCCCTGAATCTCCGCTGGCCTTGCAGCTTAACCAAGAGGACACAACAGAAGTGACATAGCACTAACTCTGTGCTGCAGTACCAACTGTAAACGTAGGCCTTAAATTGCACACTCCTGTTTTCTTCAAAGCCTGCCAGAATCATATCTGAGCAAGCCCATGCTGGTCTGATGCAAACAGACAGACTGCACGAATCACTGCCAAGTGGGTCCAATTGTCCCAGCTGAGGTTCCAGAGATGTGAGCAAGCTTAGTGAAAATCATCTGTGCCTAGGCCAGATTAGAGTAACCTCTCTAGTGATGCATGTCCAGAGTATGGTTTCACACAGGAACCACTTCAGTCCTCTGCGAGGAATTTGCCTTTCCACTTCAGACACATTAAATCAGGATCTACATTTTAGCAAGACCCTTCTATATCTGGGGAGCCTGTTAAAATGCACATTCCAATTCAGCATATCTGGAATGGGAAGCCAAGTTTTCAGCAGGGTGTAAAGCTGGAATGAATTGGTTTGAGGCCCTGGACCTGAGCAATGATTTATGGCCACTGTTGTTTTACACACCAAGTTTTGGGGTGATATGTTATACAGCAAAAGCCAGCTGAGATATCCCTCAAATTCAATGTCTATCAGGTACTGGGTAAAGTCTCCTCTCCTGGTTTTTGCTTCCTATGTGATAAATCTTTCCTTTAAATATAGAACACTGAACACTTACAGGGCGGGGCTGAAGCTCAATGTGGTACAGAAGAAACTGGTGTCAGTTTCTGCTCCAAACGGGGCTGCTAACTTTCCGCATCTCTGCCTAGATAATCACGGTCTAAGAGAACCAACCACACAAGCTCTTTCCCATCTAGATGCAGGGATCCTGCAGAGGACACACCACGGTGAGGGACATGTACAAATGAATGACCATGTAGACACGTTTCCAGGTAAAGAACGGCAGGGAGCGACTCACCGAGGGCACAGGTAAGTTGCCGTGCCGGCTGAGAAAGGAGTTAGAGACGGACACACTGATGCCCTGAGTGGCACTGCCGTCCTCAGGCGTGAAGGTCACTTTAGTTTGCTGGACACAGTAGGAGACAGAGGAGAAGGAAGAAGCAGCATAGGAGGCCTGCTGGATAGAAAGGATAAGAGATGACAGGAAAGAAGGGCGCAAGGCAGAGAACAATCAGGCACATTCGTGTAAAGGCGAGCTACTCAGTTCGCCTCGATGGGAGGGGGCTGTTCTAGACAAGGGGAGCTTTTTGGATCAGTTCAGGGATCAAAAATACCTGCTGAAGGCTACCTGAATAAAAGGGTACCCTTCTTCTAAAGGCAGATTTTAAAAGGCTGACTTTCCTAAGAAGAGTATCCATAGGAAGCAGGTGGTAAAGTGGAAATAGGACATGCAGGCCTGAAACCATACAGACTGATGTTTGAATCCTGCTTTCGCAGCTTATTTAGGGTTGCCCCCCACCCCCATATGAGCAGCACAGCCCTGAGCTGATTCACTCTTCATGAGTGCAGACTGGGAGTCAGGCTGCCTGGGTCATAATCTGCACTCTACCGTTTGGTCTTCCTAAAATTCTTCATCTGGAAAGTGGGGTGGCATTAGCACTGGCTGCGGAGAGGCCTCTTAGGGGACAGAAAAGGAGATGGTGAGTGTAAAGTACTTAGAACAGTGTCCACCACAGAGCATAGGACCAACAGATGAGGAATCATGACTACTGTCTTCCTGAAATGGGGACTTTCTGAATGTGCTTTTGAGAGCGGGTATACTGCTGAGCAGTGTGGCGTGTGTCAGCTAGCACATCCAGGCTTCTGTGAACGCTGGTCACTTCTGGCTCTGGGTTCTAAATAAATCTCTCAGACTCTACCTCTTTTGGCCTTACAAACAGAAATTTATGATCTGACAGTTTCTTGCTATCGTCTCTCAGTTTCAAGTAGCCTGAGCCTACTTAAAACGGGCAAGGCAGGAACTGTAATGAGGACTGTGTGAAGTCATATGCAAGTCCCATCCTCACATGCGGGAGGTGTTCAAAGACATTGGTTCATCTCCTGGAGCTCTCTGCTCACCTCTCCCACAGGCAGCTCACCCACAGCCATCAGCTTGGTGTCAAGGCTACTTGTGCTGCCTGAGGACAGGTGTTAATCCCAAGTGTGCTTATACGGGTTGCGTCTCCAAATACTCAGGAGTCTGGAGAATTCCCTGGTATAGAGATTAAGGATATCAATGTGTACCTGTGGACATGGGCAGGAGAGTCCCAAGAATACTTCAAAATGATGGAACCCAGTTGCTCAGTGGGGATGTTAAATTTTCTTGCACAGAACCAATTTAGGTGATAAATTCTTAGGGCAAGCATTTATGCAAAGGTCCTTTTTACATGAAATATTTTTAGAGCAACTGATATTCCTATTTGGGTATATTCAGGTGTTCACAGAGTGGGCAGGGACAGCACGAGTCTGACTGCAGATGCAAAGCTGAGAACCAACAGAGCACTGCATATGCAATTCTGCTAGTTAGTGGCAGAACTGGATCACAAGACAGGCTGGTTCTGATTCTTGCAATGGAATAAAATTACAGCGCTTGGCCAGCACTGTGATCTGGAGACTTCTGAGTCCTCGATATAGAAACTCCTGGACCTGCGCAAAGGCTCGAAGCCTCCAGCTGGCACTGACCTCTAAGAAAAGGCAGGATAGAACCTTCATGTCCTTTTGCAATGGACAAAAGTTGGCCTCACTAGTCACACTTACATTCTTCTTATTAAAAATTTATCAGACTGGCCAGCATACAAGCAAAAAAGGCATATTCAGCTTGGAAAAAGCGAAGGGCTCCCTTCTGTGCTGTCCTCTTTCTGGAGAGCAAGGCTAGATGCCATGCTTGGATTCTGAAAACAGATCAGAGTCCACTGGACTAGTTAACTGGCTACAAAAGGAAAAGGCTCAGAGGCGGACAGTGGGGCTACCAGAGCCGGTCAGCTCAGCAGGACAGCCTGCCCCGTGGGGTGACTTTTGCTTCACTATATAAATATATATGTATATATGTAATATATATACATAATATATATGTAATATATATATATAAAAGTCCTTAACATGGGAGGTTTTTTTCCTAAGAGAAGGAAGGGTGCTACTCCTAAAATACAAAGAAGCTCTGTGTAAAGCCATCCTGTTGTCAATAGAGCTTGTTTTCACTGGGCCATCCCCGGCTGGAGCTGGACTATCAGTACCTCTATAGAGTGTGGTCATTATGTAAATTAAGTTCACAGATGGCCTGTACACAGACTATGCCCTGTGCTTTGATGAAGTCTCTCCTTTTTGGGAGGTTTATGTTACAGACAAAGAAAAGAGGGGAAATAAATACAAGGGACCATCAACAGAGAAAGCAACTATTCTGAATCCCAGTTGCATGAGGATGCTCAGGGAATGAAGGGCACCTCGGCCACCAGGGTGGGGAGATGGCCAAGTGGGAGCCAGGCTGCAGGTGAGCTGCGTGGAAGGACATGAAAATAGCCAATGGGAGATGGAGAGTGTGGCACATGTGCTGAGGGCCCTGACAGGGAAGAAAGCAGAAGCAAGCCTGCCCCTTGGGAGGACCATGATGCTCCCAGAGACCTGCTGGATTGGAGATTCTGGTCACGAAGGGCCGATGAGAACCGGGAGTGGGTCGCTTACCAGCTGCCGCTGTTTGGGGGGAAGGGCGGGCGGCGGGGCCAGTTCCTGTGTGGTGTCTCCACTGGTGAAGGAGTCACTGAAGCCGTACACTTCCATCAGGTGCTTGTTCTTCTGCTGGTAGATGTGCTCGTTCTGTGGCGTCTGGTAGAACATGGAAGGCTGGGGCTCTGAGTAGTCTTCGAGCAGCTGCATGTAGGCCAGCACTGCAAAACAGAGAGGGGTGTGGCTAGCATGCAGCTGCCTACGGCCTTGGCCACCCTGGGACTTCCATGCAGGCTGAAGCGGGGCTAAGGGGTGTCACCTAAGACAATCCTGAAGGAGGTCAATCCTCCTCCTCTCACCAACTGGGCAGGCTGGGCAACTTCCTTAAGAAGCACATGGTGGCATTTCACTATTGTCTTCAAAGTGCCCCCGTGGGTTCCAGTCAAACTGAGTGACCCCAGGGCTCTAAACTAGGACTCAGGGGGTTTAGCAGAGCTCATCAACCCCAACTTGCACTGCTCTCCATTCCTCTCAGCCAGCTCCAGCTACAGGATCCTTTCTCAGCTCCCGGAACAAACATCCTTAGGGATTCTGTCAATGTTCTTCCTCCTTCCTGTGACCGGCTCCTTTCCTTTATGGCTCAACTGTGCATTAAAGGCAAGCTTATCAGGATGGGCCCTTTCCCATTAATCTCCAGAGGGGCCTTTACTTGTTTCTGTTTTAGCACTACCCTTGGTTTGCACTCCTGTGGGCTTCTGGGGTTTTTTAATGCCTCCTATTTGACTGAGCACCTAGTTCATGCTGGACACTTAGATGCTGGGAGCATCTATGGAAACCCTACTATCTCAGAGCTGATTCTGATTCATCGTGACCCTCTAGGACAGTGCAGACAGCCTCCTTTTCTCCTGTGGAGTGGCTAGTGGCTTCAAGCTGCTTGATCTTTGGTGAGCAGTCCAACACTTAGCTCAGTCCCTGCACAAGACTATCTGAGACCACCCAGTGCCCAGAAAACCAAATCCTCTGTCCTTGTGTCTACCCATGGAGACAACAGACAAACATGGTACATCATTAGGGAGAAATGTGTCCTGTGTTGCCCAGATCAGGGCACAGCCTTTCATGCCATCTGTGGTACAAAGGCTGGGAGCCAGGCAGTGGGCCAGGTGCAGAGAGTCCACTGGCATAGGGAGACTGAAAGGAGATGAGGCTCTCAGGCAGGGGGCTGTGTAAGTAGCGCAATGAAGTAGGCTTTATTCAGAAGACGACAGACACCCACTGAAAGGCTCTACTCGGGGTTTGCCTGGAGCCAGTTTACATCTTGTGTTACATTCTAGTCCTGCTGAGAGTGCTCAGGGGTGAGGTCACCACTGGGGTGCTGGAGGCACTGGGAGGTAGTCTGGGTTCAGGATATATTCTGAACGTGATCTAACAGGATTTATGATCTAACCCACAATAGCTGGCAGTCCATGAGGGCAGGCTCTGGCTCCAGGCTGGTCACTGCTGTATCAGTACAGTGGCAGGCACATAGGGGATGTTATATACATACTTGTAGAATGAGTAAATAGAAAGAATACTTATCTGTGAGCACTCATCCCTAAGTGACTTGCTAAACCAGAAATGGCTTTATCAGGCTAGAGCCCTGGGGCTGTGTCTAGGAAAGTACCTACTGGACAGAGAAGAAATTCAACTCTCCTCATTTATCTAAAAGGCTACAGACCATCCTACTGAGAAGGACAAATGATGAGGAAAAAAGAGACTTACTTTCAAACATAAGCCCTGTGCCCTCTTCTCCCTGAAACTCCTTTCACAAATCCCAGCCCTTCCCTACCCTGCTGAACTACTGTCTCCAGGTGGAGCTGCCTGCACCTACATGGCCACCCAGTGGGCAGGCTGAGCTCATCTGCAGTGTGTCACCTCTAACAATGAGACCACCACTGCTAACAGCAGCAGGGACCTCCCCTGCTCAGCAAGGGGAGAAAGTGGGGAATAAAGAGCTCAGCTGTCACGTCTCAGGGACCTCATCCTCAGTGGCAACTTTACCCTGAGGCAGGTGTGGAGCCTGCAGCCCTCACGTAGGGGATGGATGTATGCTTCACTTGTGATATTTTAGGGTTAAGGATCAGAGAAGCCCCACTACCCCTAGAACCAGAGCCTTCTGAAAACTCTGGCTTGAGTCCAGAGGGTTCCAAGAGGCACAATGTTTGGAGCAGATCGCATGGCAGTCCTGATGGTGTCCTTTATGAAGCCATGAGGGCTGGCTGAGTGTAGGCCCTGTCTCCAGTCTCATTTGCATGGACCAACTCCATCCACACTGGGCCTCCCCGCCACTCCCCTAGCTGTCTCTATGCCTTCACACAGCTCTCAGATATGTTCAAGTCCTGACCTATCTTTCCCTTCTTTAGGTAACAGAGAAAGAGCCGAGCTGTTAGGACAGCCGCTGTCCTGAGTTCCCACACAGACTTTTAGAGAAAATGTACCTTATGCTTCCTTGACACATAGGCTGCATCAAGACTGAATATTAACAGACATACAAAGTTGCTTGCACACACTGTAAGGTGACAATGAAAGTAGGGAAGGAAAAAGGGATTCAGGTTTGGAAGCAAAGGAATTTAAGTCAGTGCATGGCAACACAAGGAGGGAAGCATAAATCACTCCCTTGGATTCCATTTCAAAGTGCGAGGCACAACTGCTGGGCAAGCTTGAAATTCAGACACCAAGAGCAAGTCTCAAAGAGAGTTTGCACTCACTCACTTACTGCTGTCAAGTCAGAACTGACTCACAGCTGACCCTATGTCGGGTCTGCAGGAGGCTGTAAATCACCTGGGAGGAGACTGCCTATCTTTCTCTGGTGGAGGTGCTGGTTGATTTGAACCATCAGAGAGGCGCTGCTTTGGGTTAGGGTCTCAGCGCCCCACAGACTGTGCTACCAGAGGTTCTCTTTTCTACCTTTAAGTAACTACAAAGCCAGGGGCTTATCTGCAGGCTTAAATTAGTCAGAAAGTTAGAGGGCAGAAAGGCTTAGATGAGGATAGTCATAAAGGTATAGAGGATTTATCTTTTTCTTCCCTGCATCTCAGTTCAGATCCAGGTTGTAGGAAATGCTCTTTCTGGGTGTTTTTTTTTTGCACCTTGTACTAAGAAAGGGGATTCAAAGCTACATTCTGTTTGTAAAAAGGAAATAAATTAAGAATTCAGTATTCATTCCAATCACTGCTGAGTAGAAGTTGGTATTAAAGGTGAACAGGATGAGAATGTGGTAATCACACAAAAGCAGCTGCCATTACAATTAAATCAAAAGTGCAGTTTACATTCCCTCTAATCTAATCACCAGGCTGTTTTTAAAAATATGCTGCAAAGTTCCTGAGCAAGATAAACTCCTGTGAAGATGACCCTCATATGCCTACCAACTGTTCCCTTAAAAGACTAAGTACAACTTCTGCCTGGCCAAAACAGGGAATTTAAATAAAACTGTAATCTTTCCAGAGGGGCTCTATGACCTCTGATGCTAAATTAGAGACAAGCTAACCAAGAATAGTTCAACATCAGTTATATTTCACAAACTTCTTGAAACAATAAGGGCAAATTCAACAACAGCCCAGCACAATGACTCAGAAACTAGAGTAGCGGACGGACGACAGCACAGGCAGGTGCTCCCAAGGACACCCAGAACGATGGGAGCTTTAGATGGGCAATCCTGAAACCTGGTGCTTGTCCAGCCCAAGCGGCTTGCATGGCTGCCCTTGGTGAGAAAAGCAGTTCCCAAGGATGAGGATAGGCTATGACATTGAGACTGTACAAGTGAGAGACACGCCCAGTATTAGCAAAACAAAAAATCTCCAAAGAGTATGATTATTATTCATTTCTCAAAGCAACTTTTGTGAGGTGTTTTTAAGGGGAATTTGGGAGCTGTAGCTAGTAACTCTGCAAGGTTCCTCCAGGAGGAACTGTGAACTCAAGATCAGAATTAAACCTTCTGTGTGTCTTCTGTTTGGGACACAGAAAGACTGCTTGAAGCTGGACAGAATCTATTTAGAGGACAAATCCTTTCCCATCTAGTGAGGGAGGTTGTGAAACATATTGGTTTCACACTGGGAACCACAGCCCCGGTCTGAATTCCAGGTTTACTACTCTCTTGAGTGTTGACTGGACAAAGTGCTTAATTCTTCTAAATGTCAATGTCTTCCTCTAGAAAATGGAAGGTAATGTCTATCTCACAGGTGGCTGTAAGGATTAAATAAGACAGTGTGTAAAGTTTTACTTCAAGGTAGGTTGCAACTTAAATTATTCGTTTTCAAAAGGTTTGTTGGCACGTATATTATAGATACTGATGGATGGGATAAAGTATCAAAATGGATGCAAAAATTAATAGAAATTGATTTTCAGACATCCGAGACTTGAAGCTGTTCAGAAGGATGAAGGACTCTCCCTCTCCTTCCTCCTCATGCCAGTCATGTAGTGTAAGACTGCATGGTACCTGTTCTGGGGGAGTAAGAGCTTGCTGTGCTGTTAGAGTTAACGTGAAATGAAGCCGCCATGCATTCTGAGTGTAGAGGAGTCCCAGAAAAGACTAGGAGGTGAGTCTAAAATGGAAGGCTCAAGTCAAGGTAAAGATGATGGAGGAAAGAGGCCAACAGCTCTTGAGACATTTCCGTGAGCAGAGAAGAGTGGCATAAAGGCAGAGAGAGGTAGCCCCTCTACTTTATGCTTTTGTTTTTAATGAGTACATTTAACGACAGATGGAAATGGCACCATTAGCCCTCACTTCTCCCTCAGCTGGAGGACCACACCACATGAGGCCATTACATAAGGTCAACACCCAGTGAGGAGCTGGGGAGTACATTAGACCCCTAGCTGCAGCCTCTTACTGTCTTTCTGACCCAGACTGCCCAGGAGGTCCTCAGAATAAACGCTGGTGGTCAAAGAAGCTAGGTCTCCCCTTCTCTGAGAATGAAGGGGCTTTCATCTGGGGACTTGCAATGGGTAGGCAGGCAGGCCTAGCTTGCTGAAGTGATCTGTGGTATGCTTCGACTGAGGTTCAGGAAGCCTGGAGATACTCATGTCCAAAGCAGAATGGGGAGAACTGGTCTGCTCAAGGGGAAGACAGAATTGTATTGTGAAGTTGAGGGGGGCAGGGTAGGGACAGAGAGACAGGAAATTCTCTAAAATGTGGATTAGACGAGTTAGCAGAAAATGAAAAAATGCTAATTAGGAATTTTAGGGCAAATTAATAGTTGAGAAATACAGTAAAAAACGGTCCCTTCGCTACTGGGCTCTAATAATAGCAAAAAGTAAACCCTTGCCCAGCAACTTCAAATTTCAGGTCATGGGGTGAGCACAGTATTTAGTGCTTGCAGCAAGATGACAGACAGAATTGGCACCTGGTTTGTCTCTCTAAATAGCCACCATATATACTTTTAGGAACCCACTGAAAATGACTGCGTGTGCTGAGAGACCACTGGTTTAGAACTTCCAATGTCTCCCTAACTCTACGCAGAAGATGTGGTGGTGCGGTGACATTGTGTCACATGCTCAGGTGGGGAGGGTCAGTGGCTGACTCGTGAGAAGGAGCAGCCTGGAGTGCAGGCCTAAGCTTCAGCTCACCACACTTTTATAAACCTTGATTTCTAAATGCGGCCACCAGTATTGCCAAATCAAGGCTCCTAGAAGTATCTGAGCACCACTAGTCCTATCTCTAATAAAATAATAAAGCACTCATCTGGTTTTGGCCTAATTCTTGCATCAAATATACCATTTCATATTACCAAATGTGCCTCCTTACAGCTCAACAAAAGCTTACTGTGTTTGTTTTTCTTCTCCGGTAGAGGAGGTGGTTTTTCTGGGTCACCAGCTGAATCAGGAACAGTGAAATCACCCACAAACTCAACAGAGGCTGAGGAAACTCCTTGCTGAAAGGGGTGAACAGCAGCAAAGGGTGTGAAGGAGATGGGCTGAATTGAGGCTGGGTTCTGCAGGTCATCCTCTGAGATATTGTCATACTGTGAAGGGTGCCGCTCGTAAGACACCCGACAGCCAGAACTGTCCGTGGTCTGGGAGGCTGCACTCCTTCGCTTCTTCTCTGGGAGAGCAGGCGGTGTGTCTGTCTGTTGCCCCAGGGTCACGTGTTCTTCCGGCTGGGGACAGTTGCCAAAAGACAGCTGGAAAGGTTGGCCAAGAAATGGAGACCCAGACTCCCCCAAGGACTCTGGCAACGGGCTAAGGTTACAGGCCACTTGCTGAGGTAACTGGTCTGCATTAGAGAGGTCTTGCTGGAGGAATTCATAGTCAGGATCATAGTGATCTATGTTCATGATGGGGGGGGAAAAAGACCTGTTAGTCACAAGATGCAGCAGAAAAATCACCCCGTTCTCCTTCCTTTACCCAATCATACTCTCAGAACAGCAAAGTAGTCTTCCACTTCATCTATACAGTGCTCTTACTTTACAGTCTTAATTTTTCTCTTTGATTATAAAAGTGAACCCATGGGAGTACCACTGTTTACTATCCTACTCTACATTTTCCCAATTTCTTGCTTAAAAGATGTGACCACTGTGGAAAATAAACTATATTAAAAAATAAAAATAATCCATAATCCAATATAATTGTTGCCTGCATTTTGATGTTTTTAAGAGTCTTTTTTCTCCCAGGATTTTCTTTTTTTCTAAACCAAACTGAGAAATACCAAATAAAAAGTCTTAGATTTGTTTCCTTTAAGTACTTACTTTATAATTATTAGTATTTTAAAATGTTATTTGAGTGAAAGTTTAACATGGCATATAGGTTTTCCCAATCCCTAAGTGATTCTAAATAGCTACATGTTACTTCACCAAAATGTATTATAATTCAAAATTTCCTACTAACAAGCATTGGTTTCTAGTATTTTACTACTTCTAATAATGCTGAGACTAACATCCTCAGACAGAAATCTTATTGTAAATCTCTTATTATGTTCTTAGGATAAGTTCTTAGAGCAATATGTTAACTCAAGGGATGTTACAGCTTCATCCTCTTTAAATTTGTCACCAAATGGCCTTTCTCATGTTCCTGCAACCATTCCAATACAAATTCAGCACTGATGAGAAGTCAGCATATACCACCAGCCTTCATTTAACCTCTGGCAAATGTTGTCTGGGGCTATCTGCCTTTAGTTCCAGCTCTGAGCACAGCTGGCTCTTGGTTTTGACATAAAGAATCAAACTGCAGACAGATTAACAGCCATGATAGCTACAACTTGAATATCTCCCGTGTGGTTTCACATAGTTATTTCATGTAAACATTCAACTTTTTGAGATGAAGACACTGTTACACTAATTTCATAGATGAGGAAACTGAGGCTCAGACTTTAAGAGACTTGACAAAGGTCACAAAGTCTACGATAAGCTAATACGGGGTTTGAAACCATGTCTATATGACAGCAAAGAAATCACCAAAAAATGATGTGACAAAATGAGGAAGTTGTCTAAGCAGCCTGGTAACAGAGGTTCCCCGGCTTACCTAGTGTTTCACAGCTTGTATTGCGGGAGCACTGTCCGCTATCCCTGTCCAGAGAGGACAGCTGCTCATCCGATTTGCTGAGCTTGCCTATGCTGCTACAGGGAGACAGGCGAGGGGACTCTCCGCCATATGAATGGCTGCCTCCTGACAGACGTCTCTGTGCGTAACAATCAACGTCAAAGTCCTCAAGTGAAAAAACAGAAAACAAGCCCAGTCACTTCTGAGAAGTAGTGGCAGACAACAGAGGAACGGGGAATTGGCACACTAACTTAGAGGAGGAAATGCCATCAAGCTCAGAAACCTGCTGGAAAGGCCCGTCTCTGATGTAAGTAGAAGGAAAATGTATCTGGTCTGTAGTGTCAGTAAATTACTTTAAAAATTGGCTTTTCTACCCACTGCAGTAGCCTCCACTGGGAAAATGGTCTCTAGATACTTTCTATGGACACATGGTCTTGCAAATCATCAACAGCTGTGGGATCAATATAGGAGAGTGTTTTTCACACTGTGAGAGATGGTGGTGGGGAGAGGGTGAAGAGACCGTGGCACTAGTGTGAACAAACTGTGGGAAGGTGTAACCAGAGAAACTCTGGAGATGGAATCACAGTTAAAAATTTTGTTTGCTGGATGACTGAAGGAAAAGTTGACTTGTAAAGTTTGCTTGCTAGGTGACTGAGGAAACCAGAGGTGCATCTGTGCTGATGAACTGAACCTGGACTTTTAATAGTTGAGGATTCATGTCCTGTTATTTGCCTTGGGACTGCTGAACTAAACCTGAACTTGCTTTGTGTGATATTCTTTGCCTCCCCAACTCCCAAGCCTATTTCCCCAAAAAAACCCCACAACTGTGAGTAAAGTCTATGAGTCAAGTTACAACAAACATTAGACTCAATGATTGGTAGAATTAGGTGTAGGAGCATGTGAAGTGGCATGTCAGGCCCATGTAACTATTTGTTTAGTACCATAGATATTATTGATGGAAACAGTTTCCCTTTTTGAAGTGGGCAGAAGTTAGACTGGCTACCTCAATGTTGCATCTGCTCCTTTTACAGTTACTACAGAGGAAGAACCATTAGGATTCTGAGAGTGTGTAGCAAGGGAGGTCCTTAAGTAGAACTCAGTTGTCTTCAGTAGATGTCTCTTGATTCCTTTTTCTCGTCCCACTCCCCAGTAGGGAAACTTCCTCCATATCTTGGAAAGAGAAGCACGATTAAGACTTCAACCGTTCTAAGAGTGGCTATTTCATCCTAGAAACCGGGCCTAAAGACCACTTGGTTTCTTTTAACTTTAGAAACCAAACCCTAGAACTCAACTCTGCTTTTCGGATGGGGCTGCATTACCTGTCGATTAATTCCAACAGGCAAACTGGAGCCACTAGTAGCTCGACTCATGGGGGCCACTACAGCCACTCGGGTAGGGGATGGAGCGGACTGTCTTTTCTTGGGTGGCAATGCTGGTGGTGGGCTGAAATAGACCAAACATTCCAATCAAGACAAACAATGCAAACAAAATATATTTTAGAAAGATACCAGTTTGGAATGTGGGATTCTTTCATTATTAAACTCTTCACACCTAGTATTCATACTTTCAAATCCTGTCTCACTTTCTTTTTGTTAGTCTATAAAATGAACAATAAATAAATAAATAAATAATTTTTTTAAAAAATAGAAAAATCCCAACAATCAAAAATCTAAATATCATAAAAATTCTCCCCTTTAATAGAATACAGCATATAAGTTTTTACTTGGCTAAGGCTACAAAGCAAGGAAAATACTTCAGGCCAAACTTCAAAAGCTTCAAATGAGCAAAGGAGCTTTATTATCCTAAGAATCAGATTTCTTTTTTTTGTTCACTCTACCTATTCTCTCATCAACTTATGTCATAAGAAGTGCTAACAAGCGAGCTCTGGTGGCCTAGTCGCAAGAAGCTGCACTGCAATCTCAGAGGTACACAGTTCGAATCCACCAGATGCTCTGCTGGAGAAGGAAGAACAATCTCCTCCTGTATCAGTCAGATCTGATTTGACAGTACACACAAAAAATAATGAAATAAAATAAATTAAAAAAAAAAGTGCTAACAGAGAGGGGTGTAGTAGGATGGAAATGGAACACGACATCATCATTACCTATTATCAACCACCCGGATACCAGGTAAAGGGGGCTTGGGAGGTGCAACCTCTTCATCTGTGGAGTCGGGGAGTAGCTCATTCGACTGTGACATCCCAGTTGTATTGTTCAGAATCTCCATCTCTCGATCTGTCAGTGGGAGCTCAGACTGGCTGGAGAACATACAAGAAGGTGAAGTTATAGCACAATCCCATGGCTGAGGTCCCTAAATTAAACCCCTCTCTGCTGTCGGGGTGTAACCAACTCAGAGCTGAGCCTCCACTGGGTTTCCTAGGCTGTAAAAGGCATTGGAGGAGACTGCACACCTTTCTCCCGCGGAGAGGTCGGTGGATTGGATTCCAACTGCCAAAGAGGCATGACTTTTGTGTTAGCTGCACAACACCCTAATAATTACGTCACCAGAGCCCTCAAGATGATCTAGAGGCTCCCAAAATGTTCCAAACTTACGTTTTACTAGGGGTTTGTAGATGAAATTTTTGATAGGCAGTAAAATGGTCCATGTTACCCTCAGTTTACTTTCTTGGTAAAGATAATACTACAAAAATACAAATACTCTCTGATAAAACTCCAACACACAACCCTAAAAAGGTTCTAATATGAAATAAAGCTGATCAGGAAATGCACTAGTGGTAGTTACTGTTCAGGCTCACACATTAACCTTCTATATGCTCACACTGAATAGTTAAATGTGAGACCAGGCAATACTCCAAAGTACGGGTAAAGCACACACATATTTTTAAAGTACTACAGATTCTTATTAAACACTTAAGAGAGCTCTGGTGGCTTAGTGGTAAGGAACGGCACTGCTAATGCAATGATATGTGGTTAGAATCCACCATGGAAGAGAGATGGGCAAGTCACTCCTGTGTGATTTACTGTCTCTGAAAACCCACTAGAGGGTTAGATATGGGCTGGTCCTGACTCAATGGTGTACAACAACAACAACAACAATAATCCAATACTTATCAATAAAATAGGAATACTGGGCCCACACCATCTATCCAGTGTGGGCTGTTCAATTTAGCTCATTCCTTCTCAAGTATATTTCTCATTATTTGGCCCTCATTCTTCTTCAAGTACATTGTTACTTTGCAACCAAACAGAGGCATGACAGGAGTTTCATCAGCACTTACCTCTCAGTTTTGCAGGCAGGCGAGCTGGGCTTCACTGGGCTTGTTGGAGAAGGATGTGCCTGTTTCTCGATGGTAAGTCTGACCAGCTCCTACACCCAGCATAAGAAAGGAGCAATGAGCCACAGGGGAGGTGTCTTTCATTGCTGGTTTTTCCCAAGCTAGGCTGGCTGGCTGTTCTTCACTGATGTATTTCGTTTAGGTGCCTACAGATCCCCCACCAACATAAATGCAAGTGGGTTTTGACTTAGAACTCTGTATAACTTCCCAAAATGTCCCCTACCTTCCAAAACTACCTCAATAGCACACTAAGACATTTCAAATGCAAAAGTGCACTTCCTTATAGAAAGGGGAAATAAATCAATCCCACTGTCTCAAAATGATTAAGTTTTATCATACAAATGCAAATTCCCAGCAGAACAGATTTCCAGTCAATCTGTAAGGGAAGAACTACTTTTCAGTTTCCCAGCGCCGTTATCCTGTGAGTATGATGATGGCCCAAAATAGTCATAGTACATTCAGAGTTGTACAACCATCAAGATAATAAATCTTAGCATACTTTCAAGTCTCCGGAGATAATCTTACACACATTAGCAGTCGCTGTCCTTCTCCTAAGCTATTCAGTTTTGCTTGTTTTCTAATATCTGTATACTCACAATTAAGAAATTAAGACATGATTCTATGGGCAAGGACTATTACACTGGTGTTGAGAGAATGCCTATAGAGCGAAATAGTCTCCTATACAACAGTTTACACACACTTTATTTTGTGATGTTAGCTGCACTCCTCTCAATGTCACAGCACCTTTCCCACTTCCTCCTTGGGTTTCCTCTTTCCATTTGCCCTTCTCTCCTACCTTCTGAGTTTTGTTCTGGACAAAGACTGCTCTATTGCCTTTTTAAATAGCTAATTAGTTGCTCTGAGGACCAAGTTCCTCTTGAGTGTTCTTTTTCACTCTACAGGCTTGTCTACTGTGGCTATTTTTAAACTTTAAGGTTAGTTTAATAAGTTATAATAAGAGTATGCAATTACTCGGAAAGATGCTTTTAGCATACTGTTAAATGAAAACAAAACAAAACAAAACAAAAACAACAACAACCACCACCAGGTGGTACATTGGTTTATATGTTATAAATCTATTTTTGGACACAAATGAAGCTAAGAATAAACGTATATGGCTATGAAATACCTCTTATTTTGATTATCTGTTATTTCCTAAATTTTCTACAATGTATATGTATTACTTCTGAAAAAGAAAAAACACATCAAAAAACAATGAAAAGTATGTATTCTACATAGTCAGACTAAAGACCACCCCTTTTTATAATCTAATACAAGTTCTTAAAGAACTGTAGTGAGATCTCAAAGAGTCAAGGACTAGAAGCAAAAAGAATATGGGTAGTTTAGTATTATCACAATTTAAAAGTGAAATAAAACTTTACAAATATGTAAGTAATAGCTGCTTAGCTGGGGCTAACAGAGAGAGAAGGGGAGAGGGAGAGAGAATATGAATACATAAAGTAGAATGGGAATTTTAAAGCTTGAGAGAGCAGTATCTCCTAAAAACCTCATTGCCAGGCCATGTGGAGGGCATCACAGAATCAGAAGCAGAGTGCCAGAACAAAGTGACTAGAAATCCCCATTCTCAGGTTCACTCTTCTTTACAAGTAGAGCACAGGACCAAAATCCCTTGCTGTCAAGTTGATTTTGACTCACTGTAACTCTACAAGACAGAGCAGGGGGCTGCGGATCTTTACAGAAGCCCACTGTTAACATCTTTCTCCCACAGAGCATGGTGCAGTTAACAGTGGACTGCTTAACCACTGTGCCAATAGGGTTATTAAACAGGCAAAAGTAATACAGAAAAGCCTGTACATTTGCATTTGCTGAAGTGGAGAAAGTTCCTCCAATTCTTCATTGATTCTTGAGCAATTGTAATTAGATTGCCATCTTTCTTGAAAAACAGCTGTGGAAACTCAACTAATGCATGCTGGCAAAGGAATCATGGAATGACAGGCACACATGTGCAAGCATGCACCCAAATTCCAAGATGGTGTCCTGATTGCAGCAACTCTCCTTTCCACCAGTTCACTGGCCTAGGCTTGAAAAGAGTGTGAAGAGGGGCGGACAGCTTTTTAAATTCATTACCAGCCTTCTAGTACAAACAGACTAGCTAGAAGGTCTTTAGTCTCAACTTGTCTTATCTATCACAGATAGAAAAGAACTCTTAAAATATGCAAGCAATCTGGCTACTGTGTTAATACCCTAATCTCATTCAGAGCTGACCATTTGTAACTTGGCAAGAGCTCAATTTCTCCTATTGCAAGTCTCAGCCTTCTCTCTGGAAGAAAACAAATGATGATACCTTTAGTATCTTTGCCTTTTGGCAGATGGTAGTTGGTTGAAATACTGAGGAATGTATCTGTCTTGGTGACTATTTTATACCAAGTGCCCAGGACAGTGTCTGGTTGTTGTTGTGAGTCAACTATAACTCCTATGAACAAAGGATATGAACCCTCCCCTAATCTGTGCCATTATCATCTCTAAACTTCTTGAGCCCAGTCACTATGTCAACTCTACTTGTTGAGGGTCTTCTGCTCTTTTGCTAACCTTTCACCTTTCCAAGTATCGTATCTTTTTCCAAGGACTAGCCCCTCCTAACAACATGCCCAAAGTATGAGGGACAAAGCTTTGCCATGCTTTCCTCTAAGGAGTTCTCTGGCTACACTTTCTCCAAGACAGAAAAAGACTGTTCTTTTGGCAGCCTATGGGATATCCAGTACAGTTCTCCAACACTACAACTCAAAGGCATCAATTCTTCTTTTGTTAACTTTATTAATTATCCAGCATAGGAAGAAACTGAAAAGATCATGGGTATAAAAGGAAGGTGGCCAGAAGCAACTTCAAATTCTCTGCTACAACAAACTGCTATTGTTATGTACCGTCACATCAGAACCTACTCATAGGTGATCCCTCAGTGGGTTTTCAGTCAGTAAATTGCATGGAGGAGATTACTCATCTCTCTCCCATAGAGTCGTTGGTGGATTCCAAGTGCCTCTGTCTTGTTAGTGCAACTCTTTACCTACTAGGTCACTGGAGCTTATAGACAGAGGTTGGTGTTATAATTCTGAGACTTTTCTGCTAGTACTGTGGGGAAAAAACATGAGTTTCTATGTTGGTATTGCTGAAAACATTTTTCTTTTCCATGTGTGTACAAGATGAAGAAAATTGATGAAAGTTCATAAAAAACCCTGTGGTCTTGAATTTGAATTGGCATCATTACTATAAATTCATGATGTGTTTGATCTTAAGGAGACTAAACATAAACTTCCAAGATCTGTCCATGGAAAAGTTCTAGAAACAATCACCAAGCATAAAGTAGCAATAGCAAAGTTAGTATTCTGACTATGGTCTCTACATGCCATCTCAACATATGGAAGCTTGGTTCTTCAGACTGCAGGTTCTTTGTAAGAAATGGTTAAGATGACTTACAATTCAATAATAAAAAGACAAATAACCCAATTAAAAAATGGACTAAGAATAGACATTTCTCCAAAGATGATACACACTTACTTATTGACTATTTTATTATTTGACATTTCAAACTTCCAACAATAGTAAATAATCTACAATCTTGTTACTGATGCATGAATGAAGTGGTCAGCATGGAGGCTGTGGAAGATCCGCTCCCACTCCCGGAGGAGGGCCTCCCAATGACCTCTGGAGAACACATCCCCCTTCCACAAAGAGGGCCTCTGGATGGTCTCTGGGGAGCACACTTCTTCTATGAGGAAGGCCTCTGGATGGCCTCTGGGGAGCACACCTCCTCCCACAAGTAGGGCATCCAGATGGTCTATGAGAAACATACCCCGAGAAGGGCCTGTGGATGGTCTCTGGGGAGAATACTCCTCCCAAGAGGAGGCCTCTGGATGGTCTCCGGGGAGCCGGGCCTTGCAGCTCTATGCCCTCTGCTTGCTCCTACAAGTGAGGCTGTCCAGTTGCTACAAGAGGCTAGCCTCCTCCTTGGCCCCAGCCTCTGGGCACACACAGACAGCCAGAGAGCCAGGTGGAGCCTGTGCTGGGTTGCTAGGTTCTAAGCAGCCCCAAACTTTGTAGTTAAAAATTGCTGTGGGATGGGAAGGGAGCAAAGAAAGAGACATAGAAAAGGGTGTCTGGAAGAAAGCAAGTTTCTTGACATTCCAAAGTGAGCTGAACTCAAATGAAGCCTCCACTTGAGTGGGTCCAGGCTCCCAGCACCTTTGGAGGAAGCACTGAGTCTCCTAGATGACAGAGCAAGGCCACCCAGCCTGGCTTTACCCGGCTTTGTCTCCTCCAGTATCCTTCACAGAGGAGTAACCCACAGCAGAACTGTCACAGGGAGCCCTGTTGGTTTAGTCTATAAGGGGTTGCACTTCTAATCAAAAGGTGCATCACTGGTGGTTCAAATTCACTTGCTGTTTCTTGGGAGAAGAAGGACTGTCCTCTTCCTTTAAAAACGCTATACTTGGTCATTGGCACCTAACAGTAACAATAAAATACAAAAACAAATTTCACATCAGAAATATATTTCTATTTTATGAGAAAATAAATTTCTATTGGGGGGAAAAAAGTACAGACTTGGAAATCTGATGGGGTCAGAACTAACTCCACAAGAGTGAGTGACAGATTTGTCACAACGACAAGCATATCAGTAAATATTAGCTATTACCACTTTTTTAATCTTATTTTCTAAATAAGAAATAACAGATGCATGGCCTGAAAACAGGTAAAACCAAAATTTTTCATTTTCACACAAGATCATTTTTCACATAACAACTGGTCTTCAGAACCTAACCATGTTGGTAAGTGAGGAGTGGGTGTAATGATAATCATAAACACATGAAAAGGTGCTTAAATCACTAGCCATTGCTGGTGTCAGAGTTGATTCAGATCACGGAAAACTAACGTGTTACATTGAAGAACTGTTCTCTAGGGTTTGCTTGTCTGTAGTCATAAAAGCAGCAGCTTGCCAGACATGTTCTTCTCAGTACAAATGAGTGAGTTCAAACTACAACTTTAAGATTAGCAGTTAAGACAAAACCCTTTTTGACAC